GGAGCTAGAGCAGCTGACGAGGGAGAAGCAGGCGGAGCTGGAGGAGGTGCACGGGAGGTGTGCTGCAGGGCTGGCTGGGTCCTCGGGGAGCGCAGGGGCAGGGAGGCGGGCAGGACCCCGCGGCTCCAAAAAGGACGGTGGGCCGAGGAAGGTGAGCGGGCGGCGTGCCCATCTTGCTGCCTCCTTCCCGCTGGTGCAGAGCTGGGCCCTGCAGCCACGGCTGCTGCCGGCTCCGCTCCGTGTTTGAGGCTAGGTCATTCCCTCTGGGTGGTGCTTGGCTGCCGGCCCCAGGAAGAAGCCTGGCCGCCCCGAGTCAGGGCAAGTGCCCCCCGTGCGGGTGTTGGGAAAGGAGCCCCCTGGGCTGGTCAGAGCAGGTGCCATGCAGAAGGGAAGGAGGCCCTGTGAGGCCACAGTGAGCAGGTGTGCCCCTCCCCGGGGACCCCAGAGGCCTTCCTAGCCCCTGCCCACCTACCCTCTGTGGGCTCTGAGAGGCAGGCGTGCGGTGAGGGCTTCTTGTCCCCCTGTAAGCAGGGCCCCTTCCCAAGGGGCGTGGACTCACACGGGGCCTGCCACAAGGTCACACACAGGACCTGTTGTCAGCTGCTCCAGGTGGCCCTGTGCCCTCAGTCAGCAGGGCTGGGACGGGGGTGGCAGGACAGTGGCCCCTCCTGCTCTTCGGGGGGTGGAGGACCCCCACTTGGAGCTGCAGGCTGGCCTGGGGGTCCGGTGGGCGCCGCACAGAAGCCCACTATGCGCACCCCTGCAGGGTGAAGGTGGCCCTGGCAAAGAAGGAGGAGGCCGTGAACAGCCTCCGGAAGCAGCACGAGGTGGGTCCTCGCGGCTGGCGGCCTGGGGGCGGGCAGGGGAGCTCAGGCCTGACCCCGATGGCACGTTGCAGGCCGCGATGAAGCGGGCCGACCACCTGGAGGAGCTGCTGGAGCAGCACGGGCGGCCATTTCCGAGCACCAAGTGACTGCCAGCGTGTGGATAGTGGACATTCTGACAGCAGCAGGCTGAGGGCGCCCCATGGGGAGAGCGCCATAACATAAAGTGGTGTTTTTTTGTACTTCGTGTGACCTGCCTCGTCTGTCTCTCCTGGGCTGGGGTCCAGAGTGGCGGGGGCAGAGGCCACTGGAGGGCCCCCCCACGGAGGGCCCAGGCATGGGGGCCCTGACCCGGCTCTGCTCTCAGCCTGCCCCCAATGTTCCCTGCCTGGCCCTGCAGCCCCTCAGCTTGGGCCCTGGTCCCCGAGCAGAGAGTGGCTCTCTGTTCTGTCCTGGACAAGCCCTGTGGCACTCAGGCCCCTGCTCGCCACACCCCACCCCTGTCCCCAGAGGAGCTCTGTGCTTCCTCCCCTACCCTTCCACGGCTGGAGAACGGGCCAGCCTCCCTGAGGCCTTCTCCTTCCTTCCCCTACTTGGGGCACCCCCTGGGGGTGTGACAGCCTGGAGCCCTCGAGGAATGAGCACTGGACAGGCCCTGCACACAAGGAGGGTGGAGGCCTAGGCGCGGGAGCAAGAGCCCAGCACAGGAGACACTTCTCTGGGGCCTTGTCTCCCCCACCCTCCTGCCGGGCGCTCCGTCACAGCTGCTGCCGCCACCCGCCAAGGGTGCTGGGACCAGGCTGCTGGGGAGAGCTGGTGCTGGCCAGGATGGCCCTCCTACTGGCATGGGTGTCACACGGCCGTGGGGCTGCACGGGCTGCCCTGGTGGAGGTGGAGCCCCTTCCGAGCCCTCTAAAGGCCCCGGGGGCAGGGCTCTCTGGTGTGGGTCCCGGCTGCAGCCACTCTCAGTCCCAGCACAGGATGGCTGCTCCCCCCTTGTGCTGGAGCCTACCCTGCGCAGAGCCCAGGGCGAGCACCGGGTGCGGCAGGCAGCGAGGGGAGCGGGCTGCCCTGGCCTGACCCGTCCCGGGGCGGAGAGCCCGGCCTGGTCCCAGGCAGAGCGCGAGTGCTGTCCGCGGCCCCTCCATCGCTGCCAGGCGAGGAACAGTCCTCGCAGCCCCTCCGGCTCTGACTGGGGCTCCCAGGCCAAGGGCTTGAGGTGAGGAGGGGACCCGCCCAGTCGCCCTCAGGGGTCCCAGCACCGCCTGCCTCCCCTCACACAGCTTTGTCCCTGGAGCACCCACACACCCACACACACACACACCCCCCGCCTGCTGCTCTGAGAGCCAGGCTGGCCATTCGAGGCATTCCTCCCGAGTGCCAGAAAAGAGATGAGGAGGGGCTGGACTCCAGGAGCAAGGGCTCGGAGGGGGCCCTGCCAGGGAGGGGCAGCGGGCGGCCAGCTCAGTGGGCTGCGGGCTTCAGGTGCTGGGCCTGCCTGAGCCTCCCTGAGCTGCCGCAGAAGCAGAGGGAGTTGGCTGCTGGCTGGTCTCCAGGCGGGGGGCTTGGGGAGGGCAGGGATCAAACAGGGGCAGAAACAGCTCGTCCTGACAGGCCTTTGGACACTCTGACCTGCCCCCAGATGTAGTTTTATCTGGGAGCTGCTGGGGGAAGTGGCTGTAAGTTACCAAACCAGGGTATTTTTGCAAGTAAGGGTTTCAGCAGATGGGAAGACAGACCCTTGAGGAAACTTTCAGAGAGAGGCGGTGGGGATGGGGTGGCTCTTTCTTGGCAACCAGAGAAGCAGCAGGGAAACGGACAGTGGGGCCTTTCCAGTCAGGGAGACGGTGCCCGATTCCTTATTTACAGCTTTCTGTTCATCTGTCCATTCGTTTGTTCTTCCATCCATCCACCCATCCATTTATCTGTTCATTTGTTCATTCATTAATTTGCTCATTCCTCCGTCTGTCCGTCTGTCCACCCGTTGACGAGGACAGGCAGGGCGCCCCTCCTGGGCCGGCCTCTGCATCCCATGCGCCCCCGACCTCTGCTGCTGTCTCAGCTCTTCGCTTTAATCTTACTCAGGTGTTCTGTGGTTTTGTGTCACAGAGAAGGCGTCTACTCCTGACACGAAGGGGCTTGGGCTTTGTGTCACCCTGGCCTCCGTCCTGCCCACGACCTGCCCATGAGCCTCGCGGTGGCATCTCACATGTCCCAGCTGGTGGGAGCGTGTCCCTGAGAGGCCAGAATGGTGGGGGTGGGAAGAGGCTCTGGCACCTGCGCAGGTGTGCTCCAGGGGGAGGGGACTGAGACGCCCTCCCGCTCCCCACGGGTAGGGAGAGTAGGCGGGGGGCTCTGTGCCCTTGGGTGGGGGCCGGCCTCCCAGGAAAGGTTTCCTCAGCTTTTAGCTCCTCGGTTATTTCCTTGTGTTTTTCGAGTCGTCTTGTCTTTACTGGCTTCTTTCCTGCTCGCTTTCTCAGCTCCCGGGAGAGGAACTCAGGGCTGCCGCTGTGGCTGCGCGTCGCCGTTTTTTCATTTCAGCCGGCTCATTTTTGCTTTACGCATTCTGAGGCTGTGTTAGGAGGTGCATCCATATTTAGAGCTGTGTGCTTTCCCGATGAATTGACCCTTTATCTTTACAAACTGTCCCTCTTTGCCTCGCAGTGTTTCTTGCCTTAAAGTCTCCTTCAGCCGACAGTAGCAGCCACGCCAGCTCCCCCCACGTGGCGTCTGCACGGTGCGCCTCCCCTCAGCCTTCCTGCGCCAAACGCAGCCCAGCCGCAGACAATATGCAAACGAATGGGTGTGGCCAGGTGTGCTCTGCATTGACTTGAATTTGGCCCCTGGTTCTGGAAGGACTACTTTTGCTCTGGCAACACTTAGGCAGGGGTGGGGCTGGCCGAGACTGGGCCGCTCAGTCTTACCCCACAGGCCCCACAAGCAAAGACCCTCCTCCGTGGCAGGTAGTGGACGCCCTCCTCAGCCGCTCGGCCTCTTGGCCGCTGTTACCAGCTGCAGACCCTGCCAGGGACCCTGTGCCGACAGCAGGCTCACCTCCCCGGCTTTCCTTCCCGAGATCTAAGAACCCACGTCCTGGATGCTTTCCTTGCTCATAGCAGACACAGTGTGTAAGCCAGTGGCTTGGTGAACTCGGGGGTGGTGAGTGCGGTGGAGAAACAGAGCAGTGGGGAGGCCAGTGTGGCTGCAGTAGGGCTGGGAGGGCCTGGGAGCATGTGAATGTCTCAAGGACCTGGCTCAACTGTGTGGAAAGGAGGCTCTAGAAATTTCCAAGTGAGGTGACGGGTCTGACTTCTATTTTGAAAGGAACTCTCTGGCTGCTATGTTGGGAGCCCACTGTTGGAGGGTAGAAGCAGGGAGACCAATGTAGGGGAACAGGTGGTCATCCAAGCAAGAGGTGGTGGTGGCCAGGTGGGGGGGTGGGGGGTCTCCGGTGCACGTCGAGGGCAACACTAGTGGGGTTACCTTGCGGGGCGGGGAGACGAGGTGAGGATGGTGTGAGCCGGGAGTACACGCGGCTGCTACAGGCAGACCCTGGTAAGTCTGTCTGCCTTGGCGCCTGCGGCAGCTCAGCATGGGGGGTCCTGGGGGCAGTGCCTTCACCCGGGGGATGAGCCAGCCACCTTTGGCTCCTCCATCCTAGAGGGTCTGGAGTCCCACGGCAGCTGGAGGAGGGAACCTGTGGCTCCCACGTGGACACAAGCAGGGGGCGGGGATGGGGGCCAGCGCTCTCAGCAACCAGTCCCCAGGGTGGGGGGTGGAGCACAGCCATGCCTTGTGCGTGGTGACCATGGGCCCCCTGCCAGAGCAGCCCACGGCAGCTCTGAGAAGTGGGCAGCTGTGGGTGGGACACCAGGGGAAGATGGCTCTCAGCCTTGGGCACGTCAAGTCAGGTGCCTCCATCTGAAGTGGGCAGCCAGAACCAGCAGAGGAGCCTGGAGTCTGGCGTATGGGAGAGAGGCCTGCGTGGGAGCTGCCGGCACGCAGGTGCTAACCCAGGAGATGGGAGCCCGCTAGGTGCGCAAGCGCGAGTGTGGGAGGAGCAGAGGCTGGGGCGGGCCAGGTGGCTTGGGGTGGGGCAGCAGGACTCCTGCAGGAAGAGCTGGGGAGAAGGGGAGGGGCAGGGAGACGTGGTCACCAGAGATGCGAGTCCTGGATGCATCCAGTCCTCAGTGCAGGGTGCAGGGCTCCTGCCAGGCGCCTGGGGCCTCACCCTGGGGCTGCAGCTGTCCCCACACTCTGCTCACACTGCTGCCGTATGGACTCCCAGCGGCCTCGGACCCAGCCTGGTGAGGAGCCTGTGCAGAGCCCAGCTCAGGCTGGGGAAGAAGGTGGTCTAGGGTCCAGAGAGCACCGAGCTGGGAGGGCTGACCTGGGAGGGCCGGGGCTGGAGGTGGGACCGCCCTCCGAGGGTGCCCCAGTGAAGTAGGCACAAGAGGGGCAGGGGCTGGGCGCACCCCCCGTGCTCCCCTGCCCCCAGCCTTCCCCCAGAGACCCACGGCCCTGTCCCCAGCCCACTGACCCCGCACCTCCCCCCCCACACACCCAGGCCCAGGTTCACGCAACGCTGTTCTTTCCCGTCTTCCTGGCACAAGCCACGCCTCCCCCGTGGCCTTCCCCACGGGCACACGCGTGGCCCACGATGCCCCGGGGGACGCCCACCAGCCGGCACTGGGCCTGGTGCTGCTTTTCCTTTGAAATTTTCTCCTTTTTGATCAATTCAGAAAATTCTAGAGCGGGAAACAGATTTCTAGTAAATAACCCCCTGGCTTGTGGCCCCCAAGCTCCACAGGCCTGGCGGGGAGTCTCTGTTATGACGGGGGACCCCATGGGGGATGGGGGCCATGCATTCTGCCCTCCTGAGCCCTGGGTGGGGAGCAGGAGGGGCCGGAGCTTGGCTACCCGGGTGCCCCCACCGCTGTCGTGCTGGTGAGCTAGCCCCCTCCCCCAGGGCTTTAAGACAGACCCTCGGGCGGGGTTCCCCCGAGCCTTCTGAGCAGGTGCTTCTGTGATCACCCCACTTTCACTGGGGACACTGAGGCATAGGAAGGCTGGGGGCTGCGTTCCTAAGGGAACCCCTCAGCCCAGCTGCCCTCTGTTAAGCCTTGTGGCCACCCCAGGAGTCAAGGTTTGCTGGCATTTGGGAGCAGGAAGCGGAGGCTCGCAGCCGGCGGGGGTGTCTGGAGACCAGCACGCTGGGGCTCTGAGCCCATCCCAGGGCCACCCTCCAGGCCCCGGGTCAGCATCAGGGGAGGGTGGGCAGGCAGCAGGACAATGCAGACTCCAGGGCAGCCATGGGGAGCCTCAGGGGAGGCCCGCAGCCCCACAAACGCCGCTCCTCCCAGGAAAGCCCCCCCAACCCACACATTCCCCTGCGGCCACAGCCGTCTGCCCACCCTGCCTCCGTCCTTCTGCGTCCACCTCTGCCACCCCTTGGGCCTTGACCCCTGCCTCAGATTTCCCTCCCCATCTCGGAAGCCCCCATCTTATCTGCCCCCTTGACCCTCCCCAAAGCCAGCTTGGACCACCTCTCCTCTGCTCAGGCGCCGCAGCAGCCCCCCGGGCCCGGTGAAACTCCTGCTCCACTCAGCATCCCCGAGACTCAGTCTCCCCATCTGTGGACCTCCACAGGCCGCTGTCAGCTTCAGGGCATGGGGTCCACGCCTGGCAGTGGGGAGCCCGCTCAGCCCTGCACCAAGACAGGCGCTGGACTCAGTACCGACGGCCTGAGTGCGAATGATTGCGGCAGGGGTGGGGAGTGGCCAGGGAGGTCCTGAGAGGTATCCCTGCCCCTCTCATCTCTGCTGCCCCACCTTCAAAGTCAATCCTTCCATCCCCGTCCATGTCGGCCGCCTGCATCACGGCCTCAGCCTCCTCGTCCATCAGTGGGGCGGTGGACCTGCTGCCGGAGATGGTGGACAGGATGTACCTGAGCCGGGGTGGGCTCAGGTCAGAGCTGAGGGGCACCTGGCCAGTGCCCAGTGGTTTACGAGGTGCTTGCTCTTCACTTTACAGCTGGAGACACTGAGGCCCAGCTGGAGAGGGGTCTCTGGGCTGAGGCCCCGTGCTGTGGCCCAGGCCCTGGTTTCCTGCCTGGCCCCATCTCCCACCAGGCCTGCTGGAGCCCAGTGGGGTACCAGGTCTTCTGGGGCGGCCGTGGTAGCTGTAGGCCAGGGATGGGGCCCGGGGCTCAGGACTCCCCGTTCCTAGCCACTGGCTGTCACTTTATCTCATTCCACTCGATGAAGCTACTCTTGTCCTCATCCAGGGTCTGGAAGACCTTGCAGATGGCGTGCTCAGCTGCCCCAAGGCCTGGAACTTCTGCATGTTCTCAAACGTGATTTAGTTGAAGGAGCCTGGGGACAACTGGGCGCGTCACCAGGGCCACCCAACTTGGGGCCTGGCAGCCCTGGCCAGTAGGGCCAGGGCCCAGAGGGAACTCCTGCTGGGTCCTGTGCCCTCCCCTAGCCCGTGGGCTCCTGTGTCCAGCACGTCTAGTCCATGGCTGGGCGGGCCTGGGGAGCAGGTGCGGGTTGGGCCAGGACGTGCTGTACCGTGGTGCCTCAAGTTGGTGGGCAGCAGGTCTACGTCCAATGGGGATGTGCCCACAGCCAAAACCATCTTCTTCATCTGGGAGAAGAAGTCCTCGCCCATCCTGGCCCTGCAGGGGACAGGGAGCCAGCTCAGCTGGTGTGCCAGGAGGAGTGCTCTGCTTGGACCCTGCATGTCACCAGCTCTTGCCCCTCGAATGGGGACCCTGGCACCAGACCAGCCCCCCGGCTGCAGAGGGCGGCTGGGGGAGTCAGCTGTCCCTCTACTCTGGAGCCCAGGCCTCGCAGAGGTCCTGTGCCCAGGCCCTGAGGCAGGTGTGTCTGAGCCCCGCCTCTTGCTGGCTGGCCACCTTGAGGTGTTCCCCACCTCACAGAAGACGACACTGAGGCTCTGAGCCGATAAGTGATGCACAAAGTCCTTCACTCTGCTCAGAAGAGGTGGAAATAGTGGCGCTGTCTGATCCCTCAACACTGCTGGGTAATTTTCTCTGTCCTTCAAGGCCCATCTCAAAGCCTCCTCCTCCAGGAAGCCTTCCGGGTTATCTGAAGCACCACCTCCTCCTATGGGGACTCAGGGCCCAAGGCCTTGACCTCTCTCTCCTGGACCCCGGGCCACCGGGCCCTGGTCATCCTGGCTGGACACTAACTGCCAGTGGCGAAGCGTGGTGGGTGCAGGCCAATTTCGACCTGGCCCTGGACTGAGCAAGGCCCCAGCACGCTTGGAGCGGGATGACCACCCCACCTTCCCAGGCGCTCGAGAGGGCAGCCTGCCACGCATCTGCCCACAGCCCCTGAGGAAGTGCCTCTGTCACTGTCCCCACCTCCTGGAGAGTCAGGCAGGAGCCACTGAGGCAGGTGGGATTCCAGCCAAGCAGGTGGGGTCTGGGCCCAGGCTGTCCTGTGCCCCGACGCCAGCGCCTTGTGACCTGCTGAGCTCTCCAGTTGCCGTCCCCGGGGGGTTGGGTCCTGGGGCTCGTGGCACAGCAGCTATTTCAGAGGCCCCTCGGCCCTCTCCAGAGTTCATGGGGCAGTGGAGCCTTCTGGAACCTGCTACCACCGCCGCCAGGAAAGGCCTCCCAGTGGCCTGCGGGTTGCAAGCTGGCCAGGCAGTGGCTGGAGGGGTCTACCTTCCTCCTAATAGAGAAGTCACGGGTCAAAGATTGCAGCTCAACCCTGCAGCAGGAGCAGGGCTGCGTCTTGCTTCCGGACCCCGGGCATGCCCCCAAGCTGCTCCAGGCCTCGGGCTCCTCATCTGTGAAGTGGGGAGACCCCTGCCTGCCCTGTCCCTTCGCAGGGTGGTACAAGGAGCCATGAGGGAAGGAGATGGTGGGAAAGGGTGCTGGACCCTGTGTTGGGCCTCGAGCTAGGGCCTCCACGTGTCCCCCGTGATGGCCAGTTCCCACAGCCAGCACGGGCGGTGGGGTGGGGGTGGTCAGCTGGGATCAGAGGCAGGTCCAGGCCATGAAGGCCCACAGGACAGGCCCCACCACCTTGCATCTTGAGCTGAGACCCTGAGTCCCCTCTCCCACTCTGGAATCTCAGGGTCTACCCTGGAGAGAAGGGAGGCCCTGTCTGCCACTGGGGGCCCTGCCAGGGGCCAAGTCACCCGCTTTGTGGAGGAGGGACTGGGCCAAATTCCAGGCCAGGTCTGGCCAAGCCTGCGGTTGACACCCTGACAGCATGGCGCTGTGGGTGCCTGGGCTGGGCTGTTCGTCACCCCCTCCCACCGCACTGCTCTCTGGGGCACCCCCACAGCCCCGGCACGAAGGCTGGGGAGTGCGATCAGAGCTGGAGATAGCAGTGAGGCAGGGCCTGGGCCTCAGGCTGCAGCTGGCGTGTTTATAGTGCCTGACCCAGGGCCAGGAATGGCACCACACCTGGTGTGCCGAGCCCGGGGTGGGAGGGGGCTGTGGGGCACCACACAGAGCTGACCCTGAGGCCCCCTGCCCGGCCTCCTGAGGTGCTCCCAGTGCCTGAAAATGCCCTGTGTCTTCGTCTCCCCTCCTAGAAGAGAGCCCCCGCCTTCCCCTTCAACTTCAGTGCCCTCCACAACCAAAGCCGGCCAGAACTCTAAGGCCGAGCTGAGACCCCCACAGACACCCACACATCCTCAGTACTGCTGTGTCCCAGACGCCCCTTCCAAGGCTGGCAGGGGCCTCCCCTGACCCCAGACCACCCTGGACCACCCATGTGGCCCTGCTGGGGGCTGCTGTCTGCATTTAGGCTCCCAGAGTAAATCACCAAATTCAGGCGCTGAGTGAGGAAAAGGCTTCGTCGGCTGGAGGGAGGTGCGAAGGGGTGATGGAGGCAGTAGTGGCCCATCGGGATCGGGGCTGGGCACGGGGGCCCAGAGCTGGCTCAGCACGCCCGTCTGAGTCGCTGGGTCTGGGGGCCTTGGACCCTCTGTCGTGCCAGGCCCTTCCACCCTGTTCCCCGCCAGCACCAGGCGCCCTGCGGTCAGTGAGTGGGTCTCAGCCTCCCCTGCTGATGCCCGGCTCCCCGCCATGCTCTCAGAGGCCCCCGCCACAGGCACACGTGCTCATCCCTGCAGACCCAGCTGTGTCGGGCTGCCCCTCCCCTAGGCCTCCCGGGGGTACACCCAGCACCCAGGGCCGCCCCTTGTCCTGTGGAAGACAAGGCCCCATCTCTCACCAAGCAGCTTGGGCAGCTCCGGCCCAGCTGGGCGCCCACACCCCCTCTCTCCTGCGCAGCTCACCTCCGCCTGGCTTCCCACGAGGGTTCTGGGAGGCAGCTCAGCTGGGGGTGCTCAGGGGCTGTGGGGTCCCCCACTTTTATGCCTATGGCTTCCCGGTCTGTTTACAGCTTGGGGCTGCAGCAGTTCCCCTGCCTCCCCCACACTCCAGCCTGGCACCAGCTGCCCCCAGGGGCTCTCTGGCACTTGGCGTGTCTGCACCAGGCTGGGCAGACTGACCATCAGTGGCGCCCGGCCGCCCCGAGCCCGGGGGTGGAGGAGGAGAGCGATGGTACCAGCGAGCGAGTGGACTTTCTGGCTTTCCCATGAGGTTCTACCCTGCCTACTGGCGTCAGGGGGGTGACGGGGTGGCGGCCCAGGACACAGTCCAGGGGTGCAGGCTGGCCTGCATGTGCGGGACGATTGGGTCTCCTCCAGTAAGCAGCCAGTCTTTTGTCCCTGAGTCACTGCGGGGGTCCGGAGAGCCACGCCGGAGCTGGCCATCAAGGCGAAGAGAGGAGAGAGAGGTCTCTGTTGCGCAGGGTGGTCCCTGGGGGCCCAGGGAGCAGGGCTGTATGACCCCAGGGGGAGAAGAGGGGACCAGACCGGGACACATCACCAAGAGTCCCTCCTGGCCGTGGCCTACCTGGAGGGGGACGCCTCACTATCTGTTTGCTGTCTTGGCCTCAGTATCTCACAGCACGGTGCCCCGGGTGGTGCAGACGTCTGCATGGCCTCTTCCCGACCCCCATCACCAGCTGTCCCCTGTGGGGTTTCTGCCCCGTCAACTTACATGGTGCTCACGTGGCTCCAAGATCCACCTTCTTCTCCTGAGAGTTTATAGCGCGTCCGCCAAGACTCTGCAAGGCTATGATGCAAAGCATCTCCGGGTTCGGCCTGGAGTGGGTCCCAGCACTTGTCCTCAGAGGTGCGGTACGAGACCGGGTGGGAGGATGGGGACAAACGATGGATGACTCCACGGTCCCGCCACGTTCTCAGAACGGTTACCCGAAAGCTTCCCAGCCAAGCCTGGGTGCCCTCACACCCCCCTGCACACCCACCCTACACTGCGGTCTGGTCCCCCGCAGGCAGCGCTGACATCGCTCAACGCGTCTGTCCGTCCGGTGGACCGTTTCCCGGAAGGAGGCCCCGACACTCGCCACAGCACGGATGAGCCCCGGCAGCCCCACGCGGAGGGAAGAAGGCCAGTCACAAAGGGCCGCAGCGTCCGCGATGCCGTTTGTGCAGACGAGGCGGCTCCACAGGGACAGGGAGCAGGTTGGGGGTTGCGGGGGGCCAGGGGAGAGGGGAATGGGGCTACTGTTTAAGGAGTGCGGGGTTTTATTCTGGAGTCATGACAATATTCTGGAACCAGATAGAGGTGGTGGTTGCACAACACGGTGAATGCACCGAATGCCCCAGAATTGTCTGCATTAAAATGGTTTATCTTCTGTTATCTGAGCACCCCCAGCCCACCGCCTGGCCCCTGTGAGGAAGGGAGGCACTGCTGGCCTCTTCCAGGAGGGCGGGTCCATGCCCACCCCTGCTCGGGCTGTGAGAAGTGGGGTGGGGAGTGGGTGGACGGGCTACTGGACCAGCACCTGCCGGAGCTGCCAGATGGCCAGTCCCCCCCGGCAGCCCCTTCTCTTCTGGAGCCCCGGCCCCAGCTTACGGACGATCTTTGGCCTGAGCTGGCCTGGAGGGGTCACAGGGACCAGCTCCACAGCTCCAGCGACACCGTCATTCCCGATGCCCAGGCATGGCAGGCACTGCCCCCTCTGGTCTCTCGGCACTGACTCCCTCCCTCACCCTGCCTGCCTGGAACAACTTCAGGGGAGCAGAGCTGGCCTGCTCTCGGCCCCTCCTGCTGCAGCCTGGGAACCCCTGGGGAGACCCCCGCAGCACAGCCCTGCCCCGTGACGTGAGTCTAGACACGGAAAGGGAATTAGTTCTTCCTCTCCAGGGAGCTGTTTTTATATAAAGACAAAGCTCTTTTAAGCCACAGTCTCCTCCCGGATCATGGGGTCTCCCCCTGGCTGGCTCAGAACACCAGGCAGCATCTTCTCCTTCCTGGGGAAGCCAGCACCTTGGTGGATGCACCTGCCTTCCAAGGCCTCTTTGGCAAATGCCAGAGCCCCTCTCAGCCCGACTGGGCAGAGCACAGCTGTGGTGGGCAGGCTTGTTGGGGAGAAGTTCTTCTGAGGTTGGGGGACGGCCTTTCCCGTTGGCAGTGGCATACCTTCCCACGTCCTCCTCCCCTGCCCGCAGGCGGGGCCACATCCCGGTGCAGCAGGAGGGCTGGGTGGGGGGAGCCCCTGGGGGTGAGATTCTGTCAGGCAGGGGTGGCGCTGGGGCCCTGCACTATGCCGCCCAGCATATGGGTTTGGGGACGGAATGTGGGGTGGCCTTTCATGCAGCAATGCTGATGGGGGTTATTACAGGAGGGACTCAAGAGGTGCTGGCCGGTCGTCCCCCCGACCCTGTCCTTGTGTCCTTTACACACACAAGATACATCCGTGTCCTAATCTCAGTACCTGGATGGGAACATGCTGGGAACCAGAGTGTTTGCCGACGTGACCAGGCACTCCCTGGGCTGTGGACTGGACGGGCGTCAGGCCGACAGGTGAGAGTTCCTGGGCTTCCAGGCCTTAGGCTGCAGAGCGCCCAGCGCGGCTCCGCTCCGGCCTTGGTTCAAGGTTGGGGTAAGGAGCTCCTCGCGGATTCTCTAAGATATTGCACTAAAACCTTCCCGCCCTTGATCACCGAGTTTCTGACAGCTTTACTGAGATATGATTCACGTGCTGTGAAGTTCGCTGTTTCAGAGTGTACACATCTGTGTTTTCAAGCGTAGTCACAGGGCCGTGCAACTATCACCTCGACACAATCCCAGGACATTTTTATCACCCCCAGAAGAGGCCTCGTCCCCCGGCCCCCCTGGCCTGGCTTCCTGTCTCCGCGGGTTTGCGCAGTCCAGGCCTTTCAGGTAAGCGGACTCCTGCGGTGTCAGTCCTCTTGCTTCCCTCCCTGAGCAGCGCGTCCGAGGTTCACCTCTCTGCAGCGCCCGTCTGCAGCGAGCCCTTTTCATTGCTCCTGATATGCCACTGTTTGGTCTGTCAGCTTTTGTGTGTCCATTCATCTGCTGGTGGACATCATCACTGAGTTTCTGGTGACCCATAGAGCCTCCCTTACCTCGCAAGCCC